TAGCTGAGATGATCCAATCTCAAAGATTACTTGAAAAAAGACTTGAGATAACCCCTGAACTTTGGCATTATACACAGACTAGATAACAAAGGATATAGTTACCTTTCCTAGAATTTGACAATTAACCTAAAATTTTTCTTTTCAGGAAAAAGATACCTTCGTCCATACCCAACAGGAAGCAATTTTAAGAATACGACACCCACATTCCCAAAGAGGTGGTGTGGGGGCAGGTCGTTTTTTGGTCTTTTTAATGGGTTTTGGGTCTGGGATAATTTTCTTTGTATAGGGGTGGTTGGTTACAAGTTGTTGTCAAGGGTTAGGAAAAGGCTAAGCAAAGGAGATTTAAGGTTCTTGTTTAAAAAAAAAGAAAAGAAAAAGAAAAAGACAATTACTAGTTTTTAAATACTTTACAATGGTTGGATTGTTTTATATTGTATACAAATTATATATATTGAAATTGATATTGTTAGAAAATGCTATCTGTATATTTCTAATTGTACTTATACCGTTCAATTTAACAATGTAGTGCAAATTTCTGATCCTTGAATTTTATTATTACCAACTATTAGGATATAAAGAAATGAAAGCTAGTAGTTAAACATTATAATAGACCTTGTTAGTCATATTAGGTATGTTTTAAAAATTGAGCAAATATATTTTAGATAGACAGGTCATCTTCAAACCCTTCAGAGATCTACAGAATATGGCATTTAAAATGTTTTAATAACTTAGAAAATTTTTCTTCTTTGTTATGACTATGAGACATGTCGGCTGCTGGCATCGTACCAATCTACTTCAGAGAAAATATGGGCATTGAAGAAACTGCATATGGAGTTAACTTTCATTGTGGCAAAAGTTAGCCACTGGACAACAAGGTATCCTTGAATCAACTGCTAACAAACAGGACAGACAGGACACAAAACAAAGGACTATTGATTCTTGCCAAATCAAGTGTGGTTATGGCTTTATCAAAAGGCATCTTCTGAGGCCAGGACAATATGGCACCATCCCTGAAGTGGCCTTTGCAATTCAGAAAAGGTACAGTGCCCTTTTCTTCAAAGGGAGCTGAACAGGCAGTGGGCCGATGGCTTCTGATGTACAATGGAACAGCAGCTGAAACAGTTATTTTTTGAAGAGTTACTAAGCTCATGCTTCTCAATAGTAGAATTCAAAAAACATCAACAATTTCCAGAATTTAAAATCCTGAATCATGACATGACACTAGTGAAATTCAGGTATTTCTGGTACATGGACTTCTCTCAACCAATGTGAGCTTGAACTGTTGACCTTGTGTACATCCTACTTCACTTCTGTTCTTAGTAATTATGATTGAGATTTGCAGTAGTACTTGACCTTAACGAGGTCACTGCTATGTTCCTTTCCACCTAGTAAAATAGTCCTGGCAGTTTACCTACTTCTGTGTCACTAGAAATGGTTCAGTACAAGTACTCTTTATTGGCAACTGAGACTGCATGATGGCCGTGCCTGGGTTTGTCTGTAATGAGTCACTTTGCCAAGTGCAGTTGAGACAGGAGTGAAACATAATGAGGGAAGCCCTCCTAGCTTGAGAATAGGTCTTGAGTTCACTGAATGAGTGCAGCAGTGCAGGAAGCAGGAGGTGGTATAGGTCAGTGTTTCCTGACCAGACTGCATGCCATTCTGGGCAGTAACGTTGGCGTGATCTGAGCTAGCCAGGAGCATGTTGGGTAATTAGAAGTTTGAGATTCTTGGTCAAACTGAAAACTTATTTGGGCACCAGAAACCTTAACAAGTAATCTCTCACCTTGAGCCACATACTTCTCTTAAAGTATGCTTTACACCCCCCATCCCCCACCCCAATCTGTTTGGGGTTAGGGTTTGAGAAGGGAACAGAGACATGTGAAGAGGTTTGTTTAATGGCATACTGTACTGGAACACTGAAGACCTGCAGCAGATGTAAATTCCAAGTCTTGTTATAAATTTTTAAGATTGTGAAATTATCAAAATGCACATAAATCAAGTTTTAATACACTGTCTAGGTGGATGAGGTTGTCCATTGCACCATTTCTTTCTTTGGGTTCTCAGGCATGGTTTGGCAGTGTAAGAACTCTGTAACATTAACATTGAATAAAAAGTGAATCTATGAAAAAAAAAGAAATATCAGGTAACATTTTTGTTGATGGAAGAGTGTAGAGACACATGAGTATTTTGAGTTCAAATGTATCCCTGAATCATTCCTGACATCCAAGTCAGGATGAATAACAAACAACAAAATCTCAAGGGTATATGTGAAAATATGAAAAACAAAACCAGCAACAACAACCCACCACCATTCATAGACAACCTTACTTGAAAAGTATGATCACACACTGACTGCTATTTAAATAAACAATAGACCACTGAGATGAATAGTATCTCATTCTATACATTACAGCAGAAAAAATACCTGTCACTAAGTAAAAGCACGATAGATGATCAAATGCCACAGAAGGGATATAAAGATCAAAAAATAAACTTCACTAAATAGATTTGCCATACATAGAGCACACTTGAGTATCTACCTCAAATGTTTCAAAATAGAAACCACAATGCAGTGGTCTCAACCATATGTCTTGAGTAAACATGGTAAGTAATTCCTCCAAGGCTACAATGAAAAATAAATGAAATGTATTTTTTTGAAGCTGAAGACAACTGTGTTTTCAAAAGTCTTTACCAAATTATTTACACAAATAGGGTTCTTCTCTTGTATAAGGTTGTCCCCATTTTCTGACGTCAAAATGATAGAAATAGTTTTTAAAATATTTATAACACTACAGGCATAGCTGAGCAGTTAAGAAATGTTCATTCCCCATGACCAAGGTCTGATTTTTGACAATTTCCTGTAATTCCTGCTATAAGAAGATCCAAGTGTTTAATGTTCTCAGGAACAACATGTCCATTCACACACTCCAAAAGACAAACACTGACATCACATAATTATAATTAAAGCAAATTTTAGTAAAACAATTTTTCATTCATGAAAGTTTTTCTCTTATAAGTATTCATTCCTATAGCCAGTGTTTATCTGGTGTAATGGCTTATTACAGTTTTTCTTCACCATGAATTGTTTCATGTAACCAAAAGCAAGTATGTAGGCATGAGTTCCAGAAATGTATACTTGTAATTGGTGGTTCCATTTGAAAAGATTTAGGAAATACTGCCATGCTGCAGAAAATGTGTTACTGGAACTACCAGCTTAGAGAATTTACATCCACACATCATTTATAGGTGCCACACTCTGCTTAATGCTTACAGTTAAGGATGTGAGTTCTTAGCCTTCTGCTTCTGCTGCCACATCTGACAGTTGTTTCCATGCCACTTTCATGGCAATCATGTATCCCTCTGGGATTAAGGGTCAAATTAAACACTTTTATAAGTTGACCTAGACATAATATCAAAACAGAAAAGGAACTAATGCAAATCCATGAAGTTTTACACCTGAATTAGTTATTTCATGCAATTTAAGACAAGTATAAAATCTAAAAGGGTTATGTTATTGTTTAATGAAAGAATGTACCTTGTCTTTAGGAAGTTAGACTACACCTACAGGTGTGATTGGAAGGTATCCTTTATAATTACAGCTGTGAGGAGAAAGGTATCATGACAGGAAGTAAGGCTATACCTGGAGCTGTGTTCCCATGAGAGATGATCTCCCCACAAGATGGAGAAATTCTGCTTCTCTCTGAGAGAGAGTTCTTAGAGACAGGCTCTGCTCTACTCTGCCAGGAGAGTTTTCCCACCAGAGATGTCAGTTGTTGCTCTGTTCCACTCCCCTAAGGGAGTTTCCCAGAAGAAGTGTCCATTGTGTCTTTGCTCCAAGTCACTACAGATATTCTGATCCACTTGGGCAAAAGGATGTCTTCACTCAGAAGTAATTCAAGGCATGTATTGTGGAGAAAGGAATCAAGGAGAGAGTCTGGATTCCTTTTCCAGTATGGAAAAGGTCAGCAGTCAACTGAACATGCACATGGTTTATATGGGGCTTCTTAGGGCTGAGTTTTCCAGGGAGATTTCTGGGGTGGGAATTGGTTGGATTTCAATCCCTGTGCTTGAACAATCTCAGAGTTAGGCTACGTTTTGTGCTCATTGATTGGTTGGTTTTGTGCTCAGTTTGTCAAAGCTAGAGTGTGTTTCATTGGCTGTGCTTTCAGGGGAAAAGTGTTTCTTTCACTTGGTCCCTCTTAAAATTATGTCTCTGGTTTCAGGACCACAGTGTATCTCTCACTGGCTCTGGAATCAGGGACACAGTGTGCTTCTTTAGCTGGCCCTTTTACTCTACACATAGTGCTTGATAAATTCCATTTTTTCCCATGATATAGCTGGGCCAAACTATATAAAAATGGAAATCATAATGCTTGAACAGTTTGTTGAAACTCTCAACATTTTTTTCTACAAAATAAATAATGTTGTGTAATTGGCTATAAGTGTATTGGTTAAAGATCTTACTAATACATTATAATAAATAGCCCTCAGTATCATTTTCAGGTACTCAATGTCTATTGTGATAAGCTAAGGCTTTAAGAGATCAGATGCACACAAAAGTTTTACTCCTGTATAAAGTGCAAAACCTTACCACACAGACTATATTTTCAGGGTTTCTCTGCAATATGACTTTTTCTCATGATTCCAAAAATTACTGATACATACGAAGGATTTATAGCACTAATTACATTCATAAGGTTTCTCTCTAGTATGTTTTTTATATACACTTGAAGATGACTGTGATAGGCAAAGGGTTTATCATAATGAATACATTCATAGGGTTTCTCTCCAGTATGTGTTGTTTCACGAATTTGCAGATGACTGTGATACAAATGCTTTGCCAAATTAATTAGATTCTTTCTCCAGTATGTGTTCTTTCATGCATTTGAAGATTACCACGTTGTGCAAAGGCTTTACCACATTGAATACATTCATAGGGCTTCTCTCTAGTATGTGTTCTCTCCACTGTGTGTTCTTTCATGCATTTGAAGACTGCCATGCTTTGCAAAGCCTTTACCACATTGAATACATTCATAGGGCTTCTCTCTAGTATGTGTTCTTTCATGAACTTGAAAATTACTCTGTTGTGCAAAGGCTTTACCACATTGAATGCATTCATAGGGTTTCTCTCCAGTATGTGTTCTTTTATGCATTTCAAGATGACTTTTACACAAATGCTTTACCACACTGAATACATTCATAGGGTTTCTCTCCAGTATGTCTTCTTTTGTGTACTTGAAGACCATTGTTATGAACAAAGGCTTTACCACATTGATTGCATTCATAGGGTTTCTCTCCAGTATGTCTTCTTTTGTGTACTTGAAGACCATTGTTATGAACAAAGGCTTTACCACATTGATTGCATTCATAGGGTTTCTCTCCAGTATGTATTCTTTCATGCCTTTGAAGACTACTGTGATGAACAAAGGCTTTACCACATTGCTTACATTCATAGGGTTTTTCTCCAGTATGAGTTTTTTTTATGCATCTGAAGACTACTCTGATGACTATAGGCTTTACCACACTGATTACATTCAAAGATTTTCTCTCCACTATGTGTTCTTTCATGCCTGTGAAGACGACTCTCATATGCAAAGGCTTTACCACGTTGAAAATATACAGGTTTCTCTCCAGTTTGGTTTCTTTCATACCTGCAAGAATAATTGGCACATGTAAAAGCTTTACCACATTCAATACACTGTTGACTCCTTATATATGTATAAATTATTTTTACAATTTGGTCATATTATAAAAGGAAACAGATCTTTAGGTTTATCACTATGTTTACACTCATGTTGTAGTTACATAGTCCTAGTACTCATCGGGCTTTTCTGTAATGTGAGTTTGTTGGTGTTTGGATGAAGCTAGAAAAACAATTAATTGCATCAAATTCAACAAATATATTCAATGTGGGGACTGCTACATATCTTCTAATTGGTCTGAGAGAGAGGTATGATATGTCTTTCCGTATCTCTATGCTCATATGTCTTGTACCCAGAGTGACAAATGATATACCTAGTAAAGGAAGAATGACAAATAAAAGGTTTCCACAATGAATTCAGTTTGACTTCCTGTCCTCATAGACTTATAATAGGGATTAATATTTCTCCGTTACAGTGCACATTGACTATTGACTCTAATTGCCCTTCTCACTAAACAGTACAGTCACAATAAATGTATGAGCAATACTATCTTTACTATAGACTCTGCTTACTAGAATTTTTTGGAGATATACATCTCACCTGTTCACTGATTATTAATTTTGTAATATGAGTAGGATAAAATAAATGGGTTTACAGTCCTACAGCATAGTTCTCATGGTGCAATGATTCAAAAGTTGATAGCTGTTGAGGCATTTTCCCCTTGTCTTCTTAAAATAATGGCCTGCAAATGCAATTCACCTACTTAAAATTGAGGTATGTGCTTTGTAAGAATTTAATAATCACCAACACACTTCAAACAGTGCTTATTTACACTGTTGCATTTGTTTAATACTTCCAGAACACATTACAATTTCTTCACAGGTGTATTTTTATCAACTTGCACAAGACAATTACCTTCCATGTCTTCTGGATCTTTGAAAATGTTCATCGGTAGTATTGTCTCTCCAAATGTACCCTAAAATATAGTATCAGAAAATGGATGATATTTTATTGGAAACTGTGTGAAATTAAGTTACTATCTTCAGTGACTCTTTGAAGCATGACTGAATTATTCACCTCATTCTCCTTTCTCAATCAAATTACTGAAGAGAATCAATAACCAAGAAAATATTGTCCCCTTATTTTAAAACATGAAGGAATATTCAGTCTTACCTATAGAAGTGAGGTTCCAGTAGGTGTCCAGCATCACATCTTTGTAGAGATTCTTCTGGAAAGGATCCAGCAAATTCCACTCTTCCCAAGTGAAAGCAACATGCACATCATCATAGGTCACTACATTCTAAAACATCCCATACATGTGTACAGCAGAAAGTATTGTAAATGTATACTTCTTTGACAGTATAGTCATATAATTCTGATCCTCCCACAATATTTCATAACAGATATTGCAATATAAGTCACTTTAGATGAAAACTAAATAGAAGGTTTACCTCTGTCAATTATGTACCCCTTGAATGAGATATTACTTTGCAAGAGAAATACCTATTAACATAGAGAGACAAGTAAACAGATCAACAGTACAGAGTACATATGAGTGAAATTGTATGAATAATACGAACTACAGAAAAGAAAAGTAGGTTAGGGAAACTATGTGTTATGTTCATACCTTTAACCCAAGCACGCAGAAAGCAGAGGCAGGTATATCTGCCTTTGATTTGAATAGAAGTCTAGTCTATGAAATCAGGTCCAGAAAAGCCAGAACTATACATTAAGACCTTGTCTTCCATGCAAAAATCAACAAAAAAATAGAGGAATGCTGTGGGATGGTCTGTATGTCAAATTGATCTGATTGGTCAATAAATAAAACACTGATTGGCCAATGGCTAGGCAGGAAGTATAGGTGGGACTAACAGAGAGGAGAAAAGAAAGAACAGGAAGGCGGAAGGAGTCAGGACAAGCAGCATGTAAAGATGCCAGTAAGCCACGAGCCACGTGGCAAGGTATAGATTTATGAAAATGGATTAATTTAAGATGCAAGAATTAGATAGCTAGAAGGCTGTCATGTCCATACAGTTTGTAAGCAATATAAGTCTTTTTTTTTTATTTGGTTGGGTCTGAGTGGCTGTGGGACTGGCAGGTGACAAGGATTTTTCCTGACTGTGGGCAAGGCAGGAAAACTCTAGCTACAGAGGAAACTCAGAGGTTTTTACTGAAGTTCCTTGAAAGAGTGTTGAATTCATTACAGTTCTGTTTTCATCTTCAAAAACATGAAGTGCCCAATTCAAACTGTAACATCAATAAGATTTTGATAAAAGGCACTGCACATTGTAACAGTTATAAATGGACAGAAGAAAACTTTAGAAATATAAATGTTGATCAAATATAATCAACACAAAGCAGGACAGATGGTATAGCAGCAAAGAACTCTTGTTTGTTTTGCATGGAGGTGGGCTCAATTGCTCTTGCTTACATGAGAGATCACAACTCAGGGTTTCTAAGATCATCATTTGATTACTGTGATGACCAGGTTCCCATTTGGGGTATATCCATGGATACAGGTAAAATATTCATAGTCACTTAAAAATTCAAACAAAACACAACAGGCAGGAAGAAGTTCATATACCAGCTATACAATGACTCAAAAGGTGCAGGCAGTATTAGTGTCATGAGTGCATGCCATCCTGAGAAACAGAAGGATGCTCTCTGCCAAATTTTAAAGTACAAGATACAGGTGAAAATCTGTAAAACAGCATATGTTTGACATGTATAAACCTACATCTCAAGCCCATCACCCAATAATATAAAAACAAAAAAGCTAGGAATGTTGGCCTTCCTTTTGTCCCAGGATGTGGGGGCAAGAATCAGCGGGATCTCTGAGTTTGAGGCTAGCCTGGTGTACAGAGCTCCTTTCAGGACAGCCAGGGCTACACAGATAAACCTTGTCTTCCAAAACAACAACAACAAAAAATTAAAAGAGCAGGCTACCAAACTGCCTTATCACTGAATTACAATTGCTTCTACTCTATCTTATGTGATTTTGAGATAGAGTCTATAATGTTGGTGAAGGCATGACAGAACAGGAAGGAAGTTGGCTGATTAATTTCAACACAACACAGTATACAGAACAAACAGGAAATGTGTTGAGACTGTTGAGATGCATATTACACTCCTAGTGAGGAATTTTATCCAGAAAGACTCCTCCTAGTAAAGGTTTCAAAACAATACAAAGAAATATCCAAGGAGAAACATGTGTCCAAATACAGTGTCTTAACTGGGAGGTTTTTAAATCAATCACATTTTGACCCAAGTCATTAAGGCTCATGGTCATTCATGAAGAAAATGCATTTAGTTACTTCAATGATCCTCATAGTCTGTAACAGCCCTTACACTGTTCAAATGTCCAAAGTCTCTTCTGATCCTCAAGATGATCTCTTGACAGTGATATCTTGTAAAATTAGTAGAGTTACATATTTTGAACATACAATGGCACACAGTACCATTCACATTCCAAAACAGCGAAATGGAGACACAGTGAGGGAAGGTTGAACCAAGAAAAGATTGAAGCACAGGAAGAAAAACAACAAATCCTGTATCTCTGTCTCAGATGCAAGGGGCTTCAGTTCAAAAGGGCTTAGATTGCCCTATCCCTGCAATTTCCCAAACATTTATCTCTATGGTTACTTCTACTGTCTATATGCAGCTAAGTCTAAATGGAAGATGTCTCATAGGTTAGGTATCTCAACATCTTGTGGTCACAAAATGCAACGCAGGTGTGTGGAATATTATTTTAAGATGTGTTATATTTGTGTATGCCGTGGAACATTTTTTAATGATGCAAAGATGTGTTGCAATCTTTTATGTTGCATTTAACTCTGTGAAGCTGTGATACATTACCTGTCTAAAATACTTGATTGATCTAATAAAAAGCTGAATGGACAATAGCTCAGCAGGAAAGGATCGGCAAGGCTGGCAGTCAGAGATAATAAATGGGAGAAAAAAATCTACATAGAAAAAAGGAAGAAGCAGGAAGAAAGAAAAAAAAGAGAGAGAAGACACCAGGGGCCATCCCCTCACCTACACAGCAAGCAATGGAGTAACAAGAAAAGAAAGGTATGCAGAATAGAGGAGGTTAAAAGCCAAAAGGTGGATGTGATAATTTAAGGTGAGAAAAGCTGGCTAGAAACAAGCCAAGTTAAGGCCATGCAATTATAAGAAAGACTAAGCCTCTATGTGTGCAATTAATTTTAGAACTGGGTAGCCAGACACCAAAGGAGTGAAGAGTTAAAAAAGAATAAAAAAGCACCAAGCCTAATCCTCACTACTTCATGCAGTGAACCCTCCCAATCTCCTCACTTGATTTCTGTCTCTGCCAATCATAGATGCCTGCAAAAATGCTGAACTGTAACCAGAGGCTAAGAATTGATAACCTTAAATTTTGATTCTCTCTTGTTTCCAGGACCAGCAGATGATGGGGGATCCTGCAAAGTTTCACTTCTTGATTGGGATGGACAAAAACATGCTTGGACCACAGGTGAAACAGATTTTGTATGAAGTTGCTTCCTGGGACTAGAAATCACTGTGCTTTCTCCTTCATAATTTCAAGCACTACGTAAATAGAGCATTAACCTTAGGAGACCTTCCATTACCCTTCATGCATCCATTTTCTGAATAACGGTGATCAAGTCTTTGAAAACCCTTGCCTTTTTCAGCACTTCACTGCCCTCTGAAACTACCTTCTCATTTTCAATTGTTTCTTCCTCTCTTGTTTTCTTCCATTGTTCACCTGAATGAGTCTATAAAAACACTCCAACAGAATCAATATTCCATTTAAGAAACTAGCACATTATTTTTTAATTCTGCATTAATAAATATCCTGGGCATTGACAGAATAAGAAATCATTTGGAGCCAAAATATGACACAAATGACTGTTAGCTTAATTTTTACTGAGTCATTTTGACTGAAATTCTATAGTCTCAATCTCCACTTTCTGCCATTACTCTTAACATTCCCATCTTCCTAGTCATACACAATGGACCAATAATGTTCTGTGTGTAACTTTCTATGGTTTTTGCCAACTAAGGTCCTGATATCTTCCACATTCTTCCAAAAGACAACATTCTCAGGTTCTACCTGGCAATAAAATCACTGTTGGTGTTACATTTTTTTGTTTTAACTTTCTTTTATCTTGCTGTGATTAAAGCCTCTAACCAAAGACATATCAGGCAATGAATGGGTTTATTTGGCTGATTGTGTCAGATCACACTCCATCACCTTGGGAGATCAGGATAAAAACCCATGCTAACAATTGAAGGCAAAACCCACAGGCAAAGATTGCTTTCTGGTGTTGTCTCTTGGCAGTAACTGTCTCATGCTCAGTTGGCTCCCTTTTCTAGCCCAGGCCCACTTTCTTAGGGTTATTGTCACTGTAAGGAACATGTAAGACCTAGGGTGAACAGGAGTGATAAGCAATAGAATGACTTAAGTAAACCACAAATGGAGTAGAGATGAGATATAATCTATGTGTGGAAGTTGGGATAAGACTAGAAACCTTACCAGGAAGGATATAAAATGAAGCCTCAGATCATCAGATCAGAAGATCAACAGATCTCGTCAGACCCTTGCATGAGACATGAGATCCTGTCCCCAGTGCAGACGTGGCTAACCGGAGGAGGGCTGACCCAAGATCCATAGGAAAAGATGTGGCAAGTCCGGACCTGTACACCTGGAGAGGTACTCCATTTCCATTTGGAAGACAGGATAAATATTACTTGTAATCTTACTGTGTGAATAAATGAGTGTTATACCATGTCTGAATCAAGAGTGATTATTCCTTCCCCATAACTGGGGTATGTTCTTGCTACAGTCACCCTAGGTAGAATAGCCATTCCTGCTACCCTAGGTGGAGGAGCCTTCTCATTTCAATCATCAATCAGCAAAATCTCTCACAGACATAACAGTTTCTGGCTATTATAAATAAAGCCACTATGAATCTAGTTGAGCAATTGTCCTTATGGTAGGGTGCAGGACCATCATTTGGGTATATGCCCAAGCTGCGTCTTCATGTAGATTGACTACCCATTTTCAGAGTATTGCATATTTATTTTCCACAGTGACTGTACAAGTTTGCACTTGTCAAAGCAGTGACTCCCCTGGCTCCACGTCCTTGCCAGCATTAGCTATCATTTGTATTATTGATCTTCTCATTCTGGGAGATATAAAATGAAATCTCAAAGGAGTTTTAATATGCATTTCCCTGATGGCTAAGAATGTTGAACATTTCTTCAAGTCTTTTTCAGCAACTTTAGATTCATCTACTGAGAGTTATGTTTAGAGGTATG